CTACATGAAGGAAAGTGAAATTAGCTGAATTCTATAACCTACATGAAGGAAAGTGAAATTAGCTGAATTCTATAACCTACATGAAGGAAAGTAAAATTAGCTGAATTCTATAACCTACATGAAGGAAAGTAAAATTAGCTGAATTCTATAACCTACATGAAGGAAAGTAAAATTAGCTGAATTCTATAACCTACATGTGAGCCTCATAAAAGCAGTCCTGTAAAGAGCACTAAAAAAAATCTCAATAAGCAAAACCTTCAGTAATATGTGAGAATGAACTCATTATTTTATGACTGACTGCACTGAACTAAAAAATTTCCTGATAAAAATGCGATGAATGGAAATTTTTTTAAGTAAACTGAAATTGCAAAATTGAATTTTGCAAGAGCATTCCAAAAATGGTGTAAAAATACTTCAAGACAGTGCAGAAAAAGTTAAACTCAAGTCCTTCTCGTGATGGAAGTCACTGTTAAACGAAACGAAAATGTTGAAAGGATTAAATCGAATATTTAAAACTAAAAAATAATTTCGCACACAGTCAAATCGTGTTTTGAAATTGCCCATAAAACCTGAAACCTCAGAGCGCGTTCATTTTCGATTTTTCACTATCTCAAAAATATTTCGGAAAATCGAAAAACAAACTTTATTTCGTTCCTCGGAATTTAGTGAAGCCAATACAATGTTTGGATCTACAGTCAATCCTTCCATCTGTATTAACTGTTGCTCCAGTAGTTCTCGCTGTTTCTTCCGTTTTTTCTTTAATTTTTTCTTCTTGTTTTTCGACATTGCTTCTTCAGCCTGTAGAAATTAAGATTTTGATATTTTTTATTGCTCTTATGATAGAGAAAGAATGAAACACTAAGGGCCTGCAGCGCAATGCAACATGTTCCATGATATGAGTCTATGAGCAGAGATTACAATAGCTCATCAGAATTAGATGGAAGACAAAATCTAAATACACATGTCTGGATAAACAAAGACCATATCACTTTCTCAAGAAAAACATACTTTTTTAACCATGTGCTGCGGGGCAGTACTTACAGCACTTCCTGATAATTTGAAGCCCATTTTGCCTGACAAAATTGCTTCTGCCGCTATCTAAAATATTTAGGAGTAATTTTAGCCAGGAAAAATATAAAGTCTCAAAAAACAAAGTTGATTATATCCAAGATCAAAATCTTAGGAAGTGACAACTTTGTCTTCTCAGCTTTGAAAGAAAGGAAAATGAAATCTATATATCCTTACATAAAAATGAATAAAAACACATACCCGTCTCACTTGTTCATGTGTCATTGTAACGAGGACATTTTCTGGTTTTATATCAGTATGTATAATTTGACATTTCTCGTGAAGATATTGTAGTCCTTCTAGTACTTGTTTAATGATAACGCGTACTTGTTCCAATGGAAGACCCTGATAATTACTTCTGATAATCAGTTTTAGTAAGTTGCATCCAAGAACCTGAAAAATTTTTCTTTAACAAAAAAATTATCACATGATGTAGATTAATTAAAATAAACTCGATAATTGCATTAATATGAGTAAATTTCACTAGAATAATATGGTGATAATGTCGTTATTAAAGTTCGTTCTATTTTATTTAAATATTAATCAAGTAACTAAAAGCTTATTTGTTGAAATGATATAACACGTCTTGATTCCTACCAAATGCAGCTTGCATGCAAGCTGATAATGTCATCGAGTTATTTGTAAACTTGAATTCTTATATGCAATAAAGGATAAAAAAAAACCTCGAAAACCATGCAAACATGCGTTCCATTAACGCCGGTTACTGAAAATTCATCTAGAAGTTGCACAACTCGCTCACGGAACAAATCGTTCTCGTCTGCATCACGTACTGCCATAAGCAACTACAACTTTGACCATCATACGTCAAAAATAATAAACAGAATACGCGACGAAACCAGAAATCTTGAAAAAATCTGCCGAACTATAAAATTTATATTTCTTTTTTCTTTTCCATATGAGAAAAAGTGGTGGAATTGAAGTGTTCAAAAGCTCATCAGTCGTCAGAGTGAATCGAATATCAAGTTTGCGAAACATTGCAATAAACTCGTAGATTCATACTTTGATTTCATCTAACGCTGCCTCTGTATAATGATCAGCTGATTTCACGATTTTCATTGCAACAAAACGCATCTGAGCCGTATCCCAACAAAGCCAAACTGTCGAAAAATGGCCCCATCCCATCTTTCGAATCACGTGATAACTACAAAACAATGTTTGAAAGTAACGGTAAAGTATCAAAATGGCGTTTGCACAAGTATCCAAACAAGCTGGTAATAATTACCGTCCATTGAACACATCACCAATTCCAACTGGATGATAGCCGCCTTTCCGATAATCTTTAGGATCCTCCTGTTCCTCGTCATCACTTCCAAGCACTTCTTCCTAAATTTATCACAGTGTTTCTATTTAATATCATTTTGAAGTTTCATTGCATAGTATATCATTAATAATAGTATCAATCAGAAAAATACGATTCCGCATGAAATGGTGTATGAAAAGGATGAAATAAGGACCCAAAGAATGAAAAGAACATGGAAGAAAACCATGTTTAAATTCTAAATTCGAGTTAAAACTATAATATAATACACAATATATCTATAATATTTGATAATTCATAACGATGCTTTGTTGATCGACTTTAAAACTTTACGAATATTCTATTTTCGTCACCTTCAAAAACCTATATTATACCGCTTCGAATAAAAGAAATCGGTGAATTGTAGAAGTCCATGAAACGAATTATGTTCTGTTTATTTGGCCAGTCACATACCTGTTCTCGTTCCATTTCATCATCACCATATGCACTCTCACTCCCAGCACTCGGCGAACCAGCTGATGGGCCATTATACGAATCATCTGGAAGCATCAGTTTCGTACCGGGCGACAGAGTACAAGGAAATTCATGATTTGTTCCATGAGGATTCTGAAATATTAAAATTGCGATCACAGTCAAATCGCAAGGAAAGCAAAATTAAAAGGAGAAACTTCCCCCACTTCTTTAAGGAAAATATCATTACAAATAGCACAGAGAAATAATAATTCTACACAAGATTTTTTTCAACTTAGTCTTCGGAGGTTAAGCCATGAAAAGACATAAATAAAGATGAAGCTTTCTTAAAAAAATATCTAAGTTCCAGAAAATATCTATTACACTATATCAAGCTGACACAATGTTCAAGAAAGAGAATATCTTCAAAAAATATGAAAAAGAGCATATTTAAAACATACTACTGATCTATAATTAGACGCTACTGCCGTAACAGGATGATTATGTTGCTGAATGAGTTTTTGACTTTTCACCGAGATAAAGGTTTTCGATTTTTTCAATTTCGTTGCGTCATCATTACTGTTACCGCCTGTCGTTGCAGATAACGTTGTTTCTTGCGTTTTGCTTTCGTTCCCACTGCAAAAACAAAATTTGTGAAATAGAATTTCGAAGCAAAAAAAACTATAGAGTATGAATGGTCACTTGCATTGGAAGTTTTTACTGAAGTTTCAGTAATACTAAAACTAACTAGAATGAGATCATTCCAATAAATAGAAATTTGACAGATGCAATTGGTGAAGTAAATTAATAAACTTGTTGAACTATAGCATATGAAATAAAATATAAGCACACTGATACATAACATCTTTTTCATGTGCCCTTAAGCCAAACAAATGTATCAAAGTCATCAATGCTGTAGTGTAGAAACAAAAGAGAAAGAAATGCACAATTGGAGTTTCTATTCTTCAAAGTATTTGATTTATTATCTCACGCTAGGTCTGCAAACTGTACAATGAATCTGTAAGACGGCTATGACATCCGATACAAAAAGTCGATGACAGGTTTGAGAGAATGGCAAAATTTTCAGAAATTTTATAAGCATACAAATAAATTTACAGGCTACAGAACAGCTTATCAGAGAAAGACAAAATTTTTTGTATGCTAAAATATTTTAAAATGTTGTTCTTTATAATAAAAAGACATTTATTTCATTAGCATTTCAAGCAAACATAAAAATATTTCATTTCCATTTATATTTGTTGCATGAGTGTGCTGTGTGTGTATCTGTCTTTGCTTTAAAATGAGTAATGTAATAGCCAAATGAAAGCTTGAAGGGATATTGTAATTAATATTAAATATACTGCAATAGCCATAAATAATTATGCATGTCGCATCAAATCATGTGAAATATTCGTAGAAATATTTTACAAAAAAAAAAAACCAAAAAAATAAATTTAGTAATAATGCACATAAAATAACTTAGTGTAATAGCCAGTAAGATTAGCTGTGGAACACAAACAAATAGGGCGAAAAAATTACCTCGATGGGATTAAAAGTGTAGTTTCTCTATCATTTGCGTTTTCGAACAACGTATCGTAACAGCTCAAAAAAAGATCGTTTTTTTCAACTATCAGATTAGGAGTCTTTGCATCATAAATTTGTTTGTTAATTTCCGAAATTACTGTACACTCTCTATTTTCAATATTATTTTGATAAGTCAAAATATAAGGTTCAAGATCAGATGCTATCCCGGACGTTAAATTGGGATGCATACTGCCGGCACTCATATTGTCTTCTTCATGATTCATGGGTGAAACGAAGTCCGACCCATGATCAAAACGTACATTGCAAGCTTCTGGTATTTGGCCCAGTACTCTATCCTCAATTTCAAATTCCGAATCAATTGCATCTGAATTCCTTTCGACTTCATGGTTGTATAAAAGTTCCGTGTTCAATGGTGATGATAGCGAAACAGTATCATCTACAGAGAGATTTTTTTGTAGAACATTGTTATCAGATGTACTATCTTCTGAACAATCAATGAAGCATGGTACGTTGGTACGAAAATATGAATTCAAAGACTGTTGAGTACTGTCTGAGGTCAAAAAAAAGTGACGACGTGAGGGCAAGGAAGTCTCTAAAGATGAAAACGGCTCTAGGGGACAAACTAGCCAAGATTTCAAATTTTTAGAAGATTCCGTTTTGAGTGAATCAAGCATGGAATTTGTTACAAGTGATTCATCATCGTTTCTTAAATCTGTTGTTGATAACGCTGACAACTGCAGTAGAGGATGAACTATCTTCTTCAAATGATATTTATCCTCATCCGAAATATCGATATGTTGAAGCATTATCGCTTCATCTTTTCGCTCTGTAGTGTTCGTGACACTTGCGACTTTCGAAATAAATTCTCTCTTCATATTATTTTCATTCGAATTTTGAATATTATCATCTAAGATAGATTCTTCCACTATCTGCAACTCTTGTTTTGTCTGCGGCGATTCCACATCGCTTACTTCTTCTAATTCATGAACTGATCCGTAAGATGTAGCACAAACTGATAAAAATTCATCAGCATCAGTATCATCATCTGAATTTATCCGATCACTTCTGAGTTTCGAATTGATAAGATCGGAGAATTCAGCAACCTCAGAAACTGTTAAAGAATGTAGACGAGAGAGTACTTTATAATCTGTGGCATTCGATAGTGAAATCTTTCGCTTATTTTCCGAGTACTGATTTCTTTCTTCGTTTTCTTTTAACATCGCCATATTCATCGCTTCCTCTTTCACGTTCTTTTGTCTTGTTCTTAATGTATTGTACCAACGACTTAGTACCAAAATGAACATTGCTTTGTAAGTGACGGAATCATAACCTAATAAATTAACAGATCTTATAAGCCTTATAAAGTCTAAGTAGAAAATAATGAAATTACAAATCAGTGAATTTGAATATAACAGTAGGAAGGCAATCAGCACCGAATAAATCTACCTTCTGATAAGGATGGCCACAAGTGTGTTAACAGGTAGCAGCAAAAGCGCAAGGCATGATGTACTTCTTAAACCTGGTATTAAAAAAAATTACTGATGGTAAGATAAACATGATACAAAAGAATGCAAATCTGCAGTCATTCGAACATGCAAAAGATATCGTCAAGCAGATAATGCGCTAATCAGTCAGTACTTAATCCCTTTGAAGTGATTTTCAAAATTCGAAATTCAGAAACAAAAGTTGCAGCGCAGAAAAATTGCAATCGTTCGTCAGTTTTGGTTAAATTGCATAATTGATTAAAGTCAAATAGTAATATTAATATTTCATAGCAAGTAGTAAATTCAAAATAAACGACCAGCGTCAGTCTTAGTTTCACAATTTCATCTACACGTTAGGAAGTTCTGGAAAGACGACTCACAAGCAAATAATTGTTGCAGTTAAGTATACATGAATGAGGAGAAAAGTGACGAAAGTTTACTAAGAGCTTCCTATATAATCTTACATTTCAATCTATGTTTTCAGAACATGATAGATGAAACTTTCGAAAAAATATTACAGGGAAATGTTCTATCCAGCTGCTATAGAAACATATTTTTGGAAAAAGAAACGAGGAGAAGCAATAATACTGGAGAAGTTGCAAGAGGATTCAAAGCTTGAAAAGAGTCAGTCTCAAAGAGAAAAAGTTCTGACATCATTAACACAAAGCGCATTAAAGAGGCTAGCTTTGAAATATCTCAACAAAAAGATTTTTACTTAATGATATAAACCTGCAAGAGACGAAGGTGTAAGGTCTAACAAGAAGACGAATAGAAAAAAAGGACAAAGTTTGAAAAAAGAGCGATTCATGAAAAATCATGCAATAATTTTATTTCTTGAATAGAGAAACTAAGCCTGAATGGTTCAACCTCCGCAAAGTAAAGCATAAATAAGAACGTCATATTCCACAGTATACCAATCTGCGAAAAAGTTTTAAATCTAAAATATAAAAAGAAATTATTTAAATCAAACAATAGCAGAGGAAATTAGAGTTCGGAGAATACAACTCCTCAAAATTGTGACTGAGACGAAAATTTGGCTCAGCTAAAGTATAAAGTAAAACCATACAGGATGAAATACGCTCATGCACCTCAATAAAAATCCACTTGCGTGAGCGTAATTCATCTCTCTCTTTACCTTCACCTTCTTGTTTTACCTTAAAGCATTGAAGGTTATTGCATATAACTCTGGTTCTAATAACAATTGTCAACAATTTAAAAAAAGAACATCATCAATACAATAAAAGAGATGTGCTAATGTATAATCAGAAAAAAAGATAAAAACTAACGAATATAAAATTTTCATAAAAAGAATATATATACCAATAAAATATTTATATTATTATGTTGGAACTAAAACATTTATTGTACAATTTTTAAGCAAATCTCCAAAACTTTACTTAATTTTCTCCCAAATTTTAAAGTCTGACCTGTGTGGTCATTATTTTATTAATTACCAAGATAAAAGATATAACTATTTAATAAAAAACTGTGACCAAATAAAAGTTATCATTATTATATGTTTTTTCGCCAAATACATACAACTATTTTTTTTCATAAGATCAAAATGAATCAAGACAAACAAATGAAAAAAATGCTACTAACGACGATAACATAACATGAACACCGTTGACCTTCATTAATCGTGATAAATTGAATTGCAATTCATCAAAGAAAAAAAAATCATTGATAGTTCAAAGGATCTGTAAGAACTTGCTCAGTTTCTTCCAAAATTTTAAATCTGATTTTTTTAAAAATTTGAACTCATAGCAATTGAACTTGATGAAAATTTACTGAAAGGGATGAATGACTGGAAAATAATTTCCACTAATAGCTGGATGTGCTCATCATTAACAAATCCATCTTACGTTTTTATATCCAGACTCACCAGAAAGATTATCACTACAGCTATCAAAAGTTGACCATTTGACAGTTTATAGTGATAATCTTTCTTAATAATGCACTAAATAATAGCCTACAGACTAAACTGGTAGATGAATAATAGACTAACGACAGATTAATCAGCCTGCTCAATTCAAACTTTAAATACTGCAAGGTATCTTTCCAGACATACATATAACAGCTAACATATATGTGATACATTACTTCAGAATTATTCATGACTACCTTTCTATGCTACAAAGAATATTCAATCCCAATATTTCAGTTTCAGTTTCAGGTGTTAAATAACAGAAGCAAAGCCCTATTAAAAAAGAATTATTGCAAACAGAACGAATTTGACTAAAATTTGCTAATATATGATATGCTAACTGAAGTTTCAAGCGCAAATAGTAGCTGGTGTTATGATATTTTGAAAGAGATTTGGTCAGTACTTACAAACAATGATTGAAATTAATTTTTCCTATATTATTTTAAAAAGTAATTCTGTTTCAGATCCTTCAAATAATCCAGCTGAAGAAAAACCGATATAATGCACAATTGATGAAAGAATACGGTTCATACGAATATAAATCTACTCTACGTGTGTCAAGACATCTTTCTTAAAAACTGGAACTTTTTAATAGCTTACTTTATCACACTTTTTCGGTGACATACTTTTCAAATACATTACCTAAACTGAGAAAAAATTAAACTAACGATTTTGTGGATGAAATTTGTTCGGCACCGTTTGCAACCAATTGCGGCGGTTTTTTTGCCCCATTCTGAAAATTTAAGTTTAGAACATCTGAAAATATCAGTTTTTAAGATTCAAACACAAATCTGAGACTTATGGGTGCATGTCTTGTTAAAAAGACTTACTGATATAACAAATGAACAAAGTAAGGATAAGAGAGAACTAAATCTTTTTTAAAAAAAAAGTATGAGACAAATGGATTTAAAATACAAAGTTACCAGTAGAATAAACAGATTTGTAACAACTGCAACCCAAAACTGGAAAACAAAATTCCTAGCGATGATCAAACCTCTCACTATAAAATTTCAGAACTTAAAAAAGACTAGCTGATGCGTGCAAAGTTAGAAAGAAAAATAAATACAACCGCTGTAAATTTTTAAGATGATGATACCATTCAGGAAACTTGTGTAAAAAAAAACAGAAAAGAGCATACGCTAAAAGACATAGATTTATGTATATCTCTAACAAAACTGTCTTCTCAAAATATATGTTGAAGAAGAACAATTAACAATGGCATAGGAAAGTTATTCAAAGCAATGGAATCGTCGTGACAATTAACTGCATTCTATTCCTCAGGAAATTGCATATTCACAATTTGTACTAAACACAAAGTGTACTGTGACAAAGAGAGAAACGAATTTCATCAGCTTACTTTTTTATTTTTTACAAAATGACGATTATGAGATGTGTAAAAAGAAGGACAATTCACTTGCAACTAACAAAAAACTTTATGCAACAATAAATATCTCTTAAATCAAATGGCTAAAATTGGAAACTCAAAAAGTCAAATTTTATCTTTTTACTGGAATTTTAGTGTAGATGTAAGCCTCATAATTGACGATTCGTATTTATGATATTCTAGGAATATTAATTTGGAAAAACGGAAAAAATGTTACTGTTGTGTGAAAACCTCAATTATTATAATATGTAAAATGAAAACTAAAGAACACATGATATACATGATAAGGGAAGAGAACGTCTAAGATAAAATTTTGAAAACCCCAAGTATAAATTCTGGTGTTTGTTATAGTATGTAAAATAAAAACAAGAAAACAAGATGATATTCTACAAATATTAATTCTTTTCAAAACAAAAAAAGATTTCATACTAGTAAATAAGATTCGATAACTGAGAGAGAGTTCTGACAAGAAAATTTGCACCTCGAGCAGATGAACTTTTGGATTTCATTCATAATTTAAAAAAGGATAAGAATAAAATCAAGCTTCGAAAATCCCAGATTTGTTATAAGATCAACTTAATCCCTAGACGTACTTTGCAATCCTTCCTTTCCAATCATGCACCGCCATCTTTTCATTCACTCATTATTTAAAAATTCAAGTGATATATTTCTCCATGTATAATGATTTACGAACCATTTCCAAGTTTCAAAAAAATCTCGGAAAAAAGTGCGTGATGTCCATCCTTTTCCTTTTATTTCTCCCTCATGTCTCTTTTTTATTTAACAACTAAGGATTTCTCATTATTTCAAATCAGAATAATGCAAACAAACATATTTGATATCAAAAATATACTTTTTTTTTATTCCTTCGTTTCTTCTTCTTTTGTATAGCCAGTACTTTGCGCTCTTCTTTTGAAGTCATTCTCTTTGGAGCCAGCCTTTTCTTACCCAGTTTTTGCTGAAGGAATGACAACAAACATTTGATGAAATCAACACGCACAGACTTCTCCCTTCACTTCCTACACTTCCACTGATCAAACTTCACAACGTCGCCCCCTGAAAACAACTTATGAATGAAGCCATCTACGGTCTTTACGTCAATATACTCTGTCAATTAATTTCTTATGTTCCATTATATCAATCTTACCGCAATCATATATGATGACAATACTGAATGAGAGAAAGATAAAACAGAAATCATTTAAAAAAAAAAACAGCACGCCTCGATTTTATTTTTAATTCTTGTAAAATTTAGCATTATACTTTTGAAATTCTGATGTTAAGACCTAAAGAAAAATAACAAGCGAAATTGATAAACCTTATTTTGACGCTGAGAAGAAAAATTCAGAGACACTTCTCTTTCATCAATACTTTTTTTCGGAAATGCTTTAGAGATTATAAAATCAAAACAGTTGCTAGGGAAATTCAATGATTTATATCCAAGACTTCAATGACAAAATAAAATGCTAAAAGACTGGAAAAGCACTTATCAGTCGCCTTATTTTGGAGAAAATATTTTACCACCTCGACGAGTATAATTGTGAAAAAACTCACAGTCTTTCAGTACAATAGAAATGTTATAAAAATTAAAAATGGTGAGGTAAGTGAAATTGGACGACAGTCGCTCGAGCAAAATTAACGTAAATGAATGAACAATAATTTGATGGAAGTTATATAATGCAGAAAATGTGCGACTGCCAGCCAAATCATTAGATTTAGAACATGCATCAAGGAGAGACATATACAGTATCTGGCAGAAAGATTATGCATGCCATTAAATAACAATCTACCAAATGATGGAAAATTTCCCGAAACAATTCGCTGCAGGATATGAAGCTTGCCTCATATTTTACTCGTTCTTATATTAGCCTTCAGTCTGTCCATCTTTGAAATCTTTCTCCCTCTACACAAATCACAATAATTCTACTTGAACTTTGTTTACTTCTATTAAGAATGTCATGATAGTTCTGAAAAAACTTTTCAATCTGGATCTGTAAAAATGGATATTTGTTCCAACTCGCTATATGCATTACTACCAGGATAATGATATCAGTTCATACTCCATATTTCGAAAAACTGAAAATTTTCTTTTCACACTTTCAGCAACACTTAGGATGTTACAGCAAACATTTAATGCTTAAAAAGTGGGACTTACACAACGAAGATTAATTGGTACGTGTGTGCGGTGCTGTCAGTAATTATATACAGTTGAAATTATGTAACTAGATAGTCTTTTTAATCTTCCAAAAATTTAGTGATGACGACATCCCACAATAAGGAGTGATGATGCATACAAGAAAGCTTTAGCCACAGCGATATGGTGAATATTATAACACTATTGTTTCTTAACTGAGAACATGAAGAGAAATGAGTCACAAAACGATCCCAGAAAAAACTCCGGAAGATATAAAACGTGCTAACTTTTTTCATTAGCATATAGCTCCAGAAGATGCGCTTTACTATTAACATTAAAATATATCATCAATGAGATCATGCCTGCTTTATTTAGTGAGAAAATATTAAATAAATCTTATAAAGAATTTAGTTAGCAGTACAAAGACAAATAATTATTAAATTCCTCTCATAAACCTACTACTGCAACTAACACACAAATTCAATTTTTACCTAAAATAAGGCAATAATGCAAAAATACAAAAACTACTTTTCGCAAAACAGTAAAAAAGAAATGCAGCGTCCAATAATAACTCCATAATGTTACTGATAAAATATGCGGACAACCTGCCATCCCAGAAAGATATCTCCCTTTTTTTGCGCCCAAATATCTTATTATCAAGCATCTCTAAGTGCTTTTTTTTGCAAATCAAATATTTCATCTACTTTATCTGTACACTACACTCTATCGATTTTTTATGCACATCAAGAAATTATCATACAATTTGATTAATTAGGAGGACATCTAATAGCGGCAAAATAAATTAACCGTTCCGGAACGGGAGAAAGTAAAACCCCAAAAGCACCCCGCGACTCCTCCCCGCTGTCCGACAACTGATAGCTCAGTGGTCAACGACCACTCCCACCGCTACCATTCGAACCACAGTTCAAAGATGCACACCTCTTTTCGTGAGGAAATCCATCCTTCCTGCTGGATTTCTGCCAAGGTGGCCATATAAAGACGTTATGCAAAATATTATCCTGCAGTATATGGTTTCAAAATTAGCTCTCTCTTAGGTTTGTTCATGAAATGATGGAACTCATTCTCTTGCGTCTGTTAAGTTAATTCGAGTAGTAATGACTCACTGTTTATGGCCTGCTTGACCACTTACCAATTATTTTCAGGAAATACACTATTGAAGTGTTAAGGTGATAAACCCTCTATCATTTTGCTACCTTCTAATTTGTGCAGAAAGCTTTTATCATTGTTGAAGTGTTTATCAGTGATTTACATACATTTTTGATATGATTTACAACATACACAACATATTGAACTGAGCAAATAATCAATAAAACATATTAAAATCGATATGGTCACTGAATGATTCAGTCAGAGAATTTACGGTTAGCATGAGTCTCGCCTGAACAGCGGGATGATTTTAAGGATGTTTACTTTTTGATTTGCTCCTTTTTAAACTTTAATAATTTAAAGTAACTTCTTTTAGGGAAGTTAAAATTGTTAGTTTGGTGTTAGAAAAAAATATATATATTGTTCTAACACAAAACTTTACTACATTCGTTTCCTGTTTGGGCACCGTATTAATTTATGAAGAAACAAGAATGAAATAAGGCCAAGTAGAAAGAAGTGAAACGGGTAAGATGGCAGCGAAACAGAAATATCGACAGGTAATGTTATCTCGTAGAAATAATATGCAATAAAAGCAGGGAGGGGTTTTAGACTACCGCCACAATTATAATGTTCAATCCGAAATATTTTTGAACTGATTCAAAACCATGCATCATTAAGAGATCAAATCTTTTCCGTTTTATTAAGAACTCAAATGTTACTTTGTTTCACCAAACATTTTAAAATTCAAATTTTAACCTAAATTGGATCTAACCTCTCCAGTTACTATTAATAATTAGGATAGCGGAAAAAAATAACAAAAATGCTGAGATCATATAGGTAATGCACTTGAAATAGAAAGTTGTTGCTGTTTTTGATTATGACAGTTACTATTCTGAGTACAGTAACGATTCCTTGACGGACTACTCCACCATTTATAGAGACGTACAAGCAGTGGAAATTCGAGACGATTTTCTATCCTAAAAATGAGAAAATAACGAATTTGTTAGAGTTAACTAAATTCTATAAACAATAGTTAAATTTAAGTAAAAACATAGCATATTGTTTTGATTTATTCATATGGTACGTTTTTTAAGAATGTCTTGGAAAGACAAATAAATGATACCAATATGCTACATTTATTGGATAGAACTTTTGAAATTTCTGATCTTTATGCTAAGAAGTCTGAAAAGTAGCAAATTAATGAAAAAGAATTTAAAGTTGAAAATCATTGGGCATCTACAATAATTATCTAATGCTAACTTAGAGGTTCTAATTAACTATATATCTATCAGGCGTTATTGATTAATGTGTTACATCAATTGGTTTTCAGAAGACTTCTAGTGACGATGTGTCAATAAAGTGGACACATTAGAAAATAAATTTGGCACTCCAACATGCATATTATGTAAGGGCCTAATTTTATCCATCAACAACTAGCTAAAACCACATTTTTTAAAAAGTAAAAGTAAAGAGTAGCATAAAATTCAGAGGTTCTAATTAATTCTGTATCTATTAGGTGTTATTAATTAATGATGATTCCGTGATAATGCCTACATTATCACAGAGGATTAAATTTATTTTTAATCCCCAATACACTTTATTTTAAATTTACACTCCCGAAGGCAACACTCTTTTAATTTATCATTTATTTAGAGGACAAAATTGAATGGTAAAAGCAGTCTTTATTATATATTCTCTTTCTAAACCGGAAAAAGAAGCAACCTTCCAGGTGTAATATCAACTTCTAGCCAACCAACAATTCGCATTATCCATAATCGATAAAGAACTGATAATTTGCGATTTGTTAAATCGATTTCACAGAATGCATGATAAATGCTGGAAAAGATGAAGAAATTATTAAACAAATGAAGGAATATAAAATAAAAAGAGAAATACAGTATGAGTTGGAATGAATGTACGGATGAGTGAACTTAATTAGATGATTCGCATAATATTAATTTTTTTCTAAGTGACTGCTTCAATTTTAAACAATAGAAAAATCGTTTTCTTCCCGTGCGGAAATCTCTAAATTTTATTTGTTTCAACTAAATCAATCCATAACATTATATGACATTCTTACAAGTATTATTAGATTCCTAAATATACGATATGTTAAATATACGATACGCCATATGATTTAGATTCTCAACCTTTGTTTTCTTTATCACACATTAACAAAGAAATGAATTGACTAACTTAAAAACAGCCGTTGATAGCCAATAAGCAAAAAGAACATCAATAGTGTAATGAGTCCTGCTAATAACCATGCAAACCATACCGATCCATGATAATACACGTGGTATATATCTATGAAATATTAATTTGATACCAATATGAAATTAAATTAAATTTAATTTAATTTGAGAACAAAAAAGACGATAAACTATGATAATACCTGAGTGATCTAAATGAATCAGGTAAATAATAAGCGACTGTTAATGAACTGACAACCATAGCTAACGTATGGCCTGAGAATAATAAATCACCACACAACATTTCGTCATCCATATCCTGAAAATAATAATCCTACTATAAAAATCCTGCAAATAATTTCTATGGTAGAAATCTTGAAAATAATAACTGTACTCAATTAGCTACAATGCGTTCTTTTTCTTTTTTTTTACAAACTGTCGATATATTATTCACGTGGGAAAATGCAAATGTTAATAAGAAAATTTTCACGATCAATATTTACAACTGCACAATAGAGTTTTCCGCGAAACGGATGAAATGAGAGAGAGAAAAGCGGGAAAAATGAAATGAATGATTATAATTAGATAGGATTTTCATAAATACAATAATGAATAGCAGCTTTCAAATTATTCAACGAGCATGTTGCCATTTGCTTTTAGATTAATGACTTTAATCTCAAAATTTAAAAAAAAAAGAGAAAGAAAGGAACTTCGAAAAATAGTTTATAAATCAAAATGTGAAAAATATTTGACAAAAAAATCTCCAAAAAGTACTTGAAATCCAAGTTTTCCTGCTTGAGATAAAACACGCGATATAATAACACCCCATTGTTGACTCGTACGATTACTTATACCTCGGCAACGCTTATTATTGTCGATGTAACCGGGAGGTAATTGTGTACACAGCAATGATAGCGTCCGCATTGTGTATAGACAAGCTATAAAATTAAAATGATTTGTACACTGATCATTCGGATTGTTCACATCAAATATTTGTCCAAAGAATGAAAAAGAATCGATTAATCGTTCAATTCATTCATATCTATCAAATTTTCTTGTAAACCCAATTCTAACAATAGCAAACGAAACTGAAGTATAGCAAATTCTAGAAATTCCAAATGTCAGACTGCATAGTGATTAAATAGCTAACGTAGAAGATGGATGTTCGATGAGTTGAATAATGTCATTAACAAATGGTTTGTATTGATTAGAATAGTGATAATGGCCGAGCATCCTTTTGTTAGGATGCAGCAAAATTCCCAATTTTGCTCCATCCGGCTAATCTCTATGAATCATCAGTCGAGATTATCATAAATTATGCCCATATTGCTACAATTTCACTAATGATTATCACTATTGAAACTGATATTAAATTGAATATTTAAAATCTCACTTCACAAATATAAACCTACCCAAAATAAAAGCAGTTCGTTGAATAATAATTATACGATTTTTATGAAGAAACAGTAAGGTAAAAAAGGAAGTCGAACAAAGTGTAACCATCGCATCACCAACTTTTAATGTCCATAATAATTCCGGTACTACTGAAAAGACGATATCAGGCAAGGCCTTCCTGAAATTTAGTAATTTAATTAATCTGAGAGATGAAATATAATTTAAAAAAATAAAAAAAGCATTCAACTACTTTTTTTTCATTCATTTGATTCATTCATTTGCAAATTTACTTATTACAAAAATATCTTGAAGAGAAAGTGCAAATGTCGACCATTGAAATTTGAAGTTTAAATTTAAATAATAACCTTCCAACAAAATCATGGATATAAGCCAAGGCTATCCAATTACTGAATGCAGCCAGCACCAAATATGTTAACACGAATAATAATTTCCGTAACTCCACTCCTCCAGCTGTCATATTCATAATCAAACGACGCGTGAATTTGCCGTTCTCGTGGTTTTCGTCCTCATCTTCTTCTTCCTCTTCCTCTTCCTCTTCACAAATTATGCTACTTTTCCTTTCTTCTTCAGTCAACTGTAAATGAAAAAAAGAGAAATGAAATCCGGCACAACAAAGAATACTTAAAGTTCCACTTGAATAAAGATCCCTCAGAATGATACTTTTTTTCTCAGTAACTGAGTCCATTATAATTAGTAAATTAGACTCAGGTTAAAGGTGAACCGATCCATGGATCAAATAAATGACGATGATATGTTGATAGAAATTATGAATTCCTGAACAATATAACAAGCAACAACGCTTCACTATTGCCTAAAATGATGATTTCATTTAAATTTAACAATATTTATATCCTACACGAGAATTTAAATATGAATTTATTCCTTTCTTTAACCTTTTTCGTAACATCTCACCTATATCACCGGAATATCTCGATAATTATTCTAAAACAGCGGGAGAAGAAAAATTCTAGAACAAACTAACTAATTCGAGTTTAGCGTAAACAATAGCAAACATCACTTTATTCTTTATTTTCCCTCTGTGTGAATGTTTCTAAGCTATTTAATAAATATTGAACTATGAATTATTTTAGAAGTTGCAATTGTTCCACAATACAAAGATTAATTCTGACTTACATTTACTCTCTATTAAAGAAAAAAAGAAAAAGGTTAGCGATGAATGATTAAAAAATATTAATCAAAAAGCCATCATCAGATATAATAGTATTTTTCTTAAACAATTAGCTTTAATTTTGATTAATTTGACGTGATTGTAAAAGCAAAAGGTACTTGTGGGGAATCTAATTAAAATGACAATGATGATAGATTAAAAGGAGTGAATGGCGGAAATTACCTCATTAACTTTTATGACGCTCTGATAAGGCTTTTAAGCCAAACAATTAAATATTGAAATTCTGGCCCCAAAATCCAAAAGGAATGCAGAAGAATAAGTAATAGGAAAATTACTCATTCTTGCCATCCTTTACTTTACTTTTTCTCCTTCATTTTTCTTCCATTCTGATAATATTTAATTTCAATTTACGAAGTGAGAAATAATTCATTGCCTTATATTGAAAAAAAGAAAGAATTATTATGAAATCAAATATATGAACTTTTAAAATTTCAATCCAAAATGTACAAATGCTGAATTTTTGCAATTGTTGCAAATTACAATTATAAAATAAACAAATTGCTTTCCATTGCACATAGATAAAATAAATAAATTTATATGAGAAATCGGCCATTTGATCTCTAACCTTGTCAAACAAATGTTATGAGATGAAATTATGTTCGATTCAATTCTTTATTAAAAGTAGCATTGGAAGGTAACATTATTAGCATACGAGCAATTCTCGTTGCCATAGCAAATATATGCCAAATATATCCAAAACAGTTTGACTACAAATATTTTTAGTTTGAGATAACATTTTAATTTCAATTTACGAACAAATGTAATTAGAGAATTAGAGAATGACAAATAAAATAAGGCACACGTTTTTCTTTCTATTGAATTTCTGAAATTTTAGTTCGGACAAATGGATTAGTAACGCCAACGACGAAGAGAATCTGTCCATTCGTCCATCTTTCTTGTTCTATTCCAATACAATATAACAACAGCTGCAATAAGGAATTGTAGTATATGACCTTTCACACATTACAATCAACACAATTACTGTCATTTGTCATCATCACTCCATCGCTGGAAGTTCTTTCTTTTTTCTGCAAGAGATGCTGTCATCACTAACGACAATACAACACGAACAATTTCATTTCCTTCACAGTAATTTTTTTTTTTTTTTGATCAAATCATTGTCACATACACATGCATACATTTGTACAAATATGTCTTAATGACGACAAATGTATCCAATCTAATATCTATTTGTCACCATCATATCACCAACAAAGTGTTATCTCAATATTCATTTATAATCATAGCCTATTTCATCCTTTTCTTTAAATGTAATAACTAGAAATTATAAAATAATTTTGAGTAAAAATTTTCTTGTTTATTTATTTCAACATTTAAAGAAATTTCCTTAAGGACGAATGTCTTTGAATAATTTATATTATTCCATAATTTCTTTTTTTTTTCAAATTGAAGATTTTGAAATAATAAAGAATAAAAATTATTTAAAGTCAGACAATAATCATTGTTTATAAATTATAGTTTGTACATAATTTAAATTAGTGTACTGTTCGAACTAAACAATTACTAGGTTTTTTAAGTAAAAATAAGCCACTGTAGATAATTGAAATAAAATTTCAAACAATTTTAATAATAAATCAATTACGATTGTATGCATTCACTCTATGACGGTTTGATGGATAAAATATATTTCTGGTGAAAGCGTTTTATGAAAGATTTATTTCTGAGATTTTAAAATTTTTCCAAATTCAGAGAAATCTGCAAAAAATAAATTAGTGCTTTTAATTGAAAACAATGGATTTACTTGGATAAGTATATCATCAGACTGAAAAGAAGATGAAGTTATTTTTGTTAAAATATGTTATTGTTTGCTGTTATAAAGGTAACTCATACCATTAACGACATCGAATCTCACATTTTCCACTCCAAAAAAGGTAATTAATTGAAATATAATTAGAGGGACGTTTCTAAGAAGAAAGTTTGCATCATTGTATTACCTTTACAGGTAATACAATGATGCAAACACCTATTGAGCATGTATAAATTTGAAAGGAAAAACGAGAATTGAACCTCCGATTATTTCCGTAATGAATAATTTTCTTTACCCTTGCATTATTTGATTTGTCAATTTATTATTTCCAGTTTTTTTGAAATATAATAACATTTCCAACTTATTATCTTTTACAAAGCAAAAACATTATGTAGAAGAAATTCAACTTTTTAAACTCAGTTGAATTTCTTCGACATAATGTTTTTGCTTTGTAAAAGACAATAAGTTAGAAACGTTATTATATTTCAAGTTTTTAAGAAATTCAACTTTTTAAATTGAATTATTTGACAATAACACATTACTCGTTATGATCATCTTTTAGATTGTTCACGTAGCATACAGGATAAACTCTAAGTTAAACAAAATTAAATAGTTTAGCTAACGATTCATAATTTGCTATATAACAAAGAACTA